GCTGAAGAGACAGCTGACAAAACTTGGAAGGGGGGAAGGAGACTCTGCTGGATTCCATTTGGAAAAAAATATCTCAAAGACATGAAAAGAATTGCAGAAAGAAAAGCAGAAAAAATTCTAGACTGTATCAGCCAGTGTAAGTTATCAGAGGCAGCTGACAAACAAAACTGAAGGGACAAGGATGAGATAAAGGCAGAAATTAATTTATTTATACATCATTATTCCATACATTCAATATTTCTTTGGAGAAAGCTTTATTACCCTAAAGCAGGGAAAGCACAGATAAATTTGAGATTGTTTTTTTTTCCATCCACTGCTAGTCATGCAACTACTTTAACATGGATATTATCCTCAAAAATTGTGTGTCACATCAGTGGATATTTTCCCTTTCATTTCAAGACCTTTTTAGCTATAATGGGCCAATGGATGATTGTCACAAAGTGCTGGTGTTGTGACAGTTAAGATGTATCCTGCTGCTGATTGATATTCAAAAAGGCTCCTTTGTGAAAACAGGAGCCTTTGAAATGGAAAACCCAAACATTAATCTTTTAATTAATACCAAGCTAAAATTAAGATATGGAAGATGTCTACTCCCTTGACAGCTGATCCTGGCTTTTAGTTCACAGACACAGGCCTGAGCACGTAAACCTTGAACCACACACTAATTCCTCTCTACTCCCATTCTTCTTCTAGATACACTGCCAATGCATCTGCTATGGCCCTATAAAACATCCTGCTCTCAGCTTCTGAAAGGGCCTTTAGTCTCATTTTGCCCTCACAGAAATTATTTGACACTGGTGCATCTGGAGGACTGGTTTCAGAATACATCTGCACAGCTCTCTCCAGCTGAAAAAGCTCAAGAAAATTCTCTATGCCTCAGGCCAGACTGCTTGCACTCCGCAAGCCCTTCTGCAGGCCCCTCTCTCAGAAAGGGCATGGAAAACCCTGCAGCTGGGAATCAATCAGCTTCGCACCAGCATTCACTACAGCGTGAACAGGACAAGCAGGTGAATATGTTTCCATTGGTCCATATCATACTCAATACTACACCCTAAATTTAAACATTTCTGAAGACTTTTTCCTTTATTTGCCGGTTAGTTTTAGCACATTCTTTACCATGGCCCCAATGCCATCGAAGATATGATGTAATTCTGTTTCACACATAAATGCTGGGGTAGTCACCACCTTGTTCTTTGTATCCACATGAGCTTCGTAAAAGGGAGTTAAGGAAAACACAGCCTACGACTCACTTGCAGATGCTGTCTGCAAAATAAACCATCTTTGACAAAACCTCCCAACTCTACTATCCTATAAAAAAAGCATCCCCAAATATATTATACCGTCCAGTTGTAAAGGCAGCTGCAACCTGTAATCCAAGATCATAGAAGCTATTTTTGCCAGAAATACAAAGACTGCAAGATCAAGCTATAGTAACGCTGGCACTCAGGAACACAAGAAAACCTACAAAGCTTACTGACTGTATTAAAATGTCTGAGTGCAGTTTAATTACAGCATTAGCCTTCAGGAAAAGAAAAAAAGAATCTCAAAGAGAACTGACCAAATGTAACTCATGCCAGTTTTATGTGCAAATTCACTCAGCATTTACTGCATTACCAGGTGTCCAAGGGAGTTCTACTGCAGTAACTGAGAATGACTTCTAACTACACAGCTGTGTACAGAAGACAGTGTTTTCTAATCAGGCACTGTATTACATGCTATCTGCTATACACTGTATATTCCCACTAAACCCTAAGTGGAAAAGCACAGATCCCCCGCATGTATTTGTTACTGTAACGACACATTACTTAACTGTCTCTCAACGTGAAAATTAACAAGAAAGGATATAGTTACTTCTTTCACACAATGCTTTCCTCCCAGTTCTTTAATGGCTCCTGCAGTCCCAGCATAAGGCCACTTGCCACCTTCCTCTGCTTCATGGCCCACGGTTACTTCAGTACCAGAGAGAACCTTTGCTGCCAACACTGGTGAAATGCAGCAAAGACTGCAACAAAAGGAATTACAAGAGCGATTCTACGATAGCACTCTTTCAAAACTTGGTCATAATTGAACAGATTCAAATGGACATGGTCTTATAAATCTGAAAGACATCACAAGGCAACTTCCACTCAGCCTTTTCTTAGCCACCTCTGACAAACACCTACACACACACACACACACCCCCCCTCAAAAAACACATTTAAAACAATAAGCTGCAACTGACACAAAACAGAAGATGCTTTTTCTAGTTCCAGCAATAACAGCTGCACATTTCCACAACACATACTTTGTCTCCATGCTCATGCTATCAAAAAAATGCCCCTCCAACTAACATACATACCCAATAGGTTTGCCTGCTTTGTGGAAGTCTTTCAAGACACGCTCAACTTCTCTGTTCACTTTGCAATCCTTCCCATCAACAGCAAAGGTAGATCTGCCACAAGAAGAAACTTTATACATACCTCAGTATAAACCTACAAATGGAGATGCCCATCTGCCCTGAGTCTGGCTCTCAAGGTTCATCACAAACTTAATAGCTTCTAAAAGGTGGCTGAAAACACCTGTAGTTGACCAGCAGTGCTTTAGCCAAAATGACTCACTTCTAACACTTTGGTATGTCAGAAAGTTCCTTACCTGATATAAACATCTAGAAGTAAGAATTATCAAAGCAGCTTTCTAGGATTACTAAGAAGTGGAACAACAATGTTTTCAAAGAAGAAAAATATCTAAGAAGAAAAGGGAAGTAACATTCAGGTTTCTCAAAGCCAACAAAATGGCAGGTCAATAGCAAGATAATTCCCTGTGGCTAACACTTTTCTTTTTTTTGAGCTAGCTGTTGTTTTCTCATTACTGACATAAGAAGGGAGTTTTTGGTACGCAGAAAGGAAGAAACACAACAACAACATTAGGAACACCTGAGACTACTGAAGTTTTATCTTCACTTCCCTCAGTCAGGCCCCAAAAGAATCACCACAAGGGTGGGGGAAAAAGACTTCTTGTGCATTATCTAAACCCCAGAATTCTCAGCAACACTGTTTGAAAAATTTAAAACATGACAAAGCCGATAAGACTTACGACTGGAAACCACCACAAACAGCACAACTCCAACACTTTGAGTTTTCCTTATTAGGTAGTGGTACATACATAGTAAATAAGGCCATTTATTGCTTCCTGATTTTACTGTGTCAATCACAGTTGATTATGAATAGTTAATCATGAATATTTAGTTGAGGAGTCTAATGCTTAATTGGCACTCACAAGTTTTTAGCAGCTCCAAATCCACCAGGGAATATCACAGCATCATGGTCTGCTGTAGTAAGCTTAGCCAGGCTTGCAATTTTACCACGAGCAATCCTTGCAGATTCCACTAAAACGTTCCTTGAAGAACCAGAAATAAAACAATGAGATTAATTAAGCATTGTGTGCAGAAGAGCATAATGAAAGTTCTGGCAGAGGAAGAGGAGGGGGAGGAAGGAAGGAAGCAAGAAGAACAGTAGTACTCAATAACTGAAGCTATTGATGCTTCTGAAATAATAGTACTGGGAAATGCAGGCATTAAGACACCGTATGCAATCAAGTCCAGAAAACTCATTTAACATTTTCTCTCCAATCAAAATACCAGCTAGCATAAAGCTACTAAAGCCAGTCAGCAAAGTGCTACAGGCGCAGTTACAGGCTGCTGTGCCTGAAGAATGGTGAAGAGACTGAGACTCAGCAGTCATGGAAAACACATTAAACACAGATTTTACCTTGACTCAGCTTCAGCTGGTTGCCCTTTACTGTGGTCAATGACATGCATCTGAGGAACATCTGGAGCATACATCTGAACCTCAGCTCCCCCACGACTGAGGTGTACCAGTATGCTACAAAAACAGAAATAAAACACGCTGAAAACCTTAGAAGAGAGGCTTCATCTGGCCCCTAAGTCTTGCTGTAAATACTCCACCACCTGATTTTGAAAGAGGAAAATATATCCTATCAAAGCATACTGAGCATGTAGCAGCAAAATCCCTTTCTGTAACACCAAAGTGCAAAGCAGAACAGAAAGTCAGTTTGGAGGCAGGGTCAGGTAAGGTAGAGGCAAGTTTCTTTGTTCAGTGCTCTTCTGCAGGCAACCAGGAACAACAACAATTTTTTTTCTCACTGCAAGTCCCCAGGTGTTATGGAAGAGTCCCACGATTAACATACCTATGGGTACATTTAATCCAGGTCTAGGTGAAATACCTCTTAGCAATGAATACTAAGAGTTAATAAATCAACTTACTAACAATTCTAGTGTTAGATTTAGCTCCAGGAACAGAAGTCTCTGCTTAACTCTCCTGAGATAGAAATTCAGAGTTCCAGAATCAGTTTCTGAAGGAAAGACAGCCTCTCTCAAACTCACTGCTCTGGCATCACATACATTGTGCTGCATCTTTGGACAGTCATGAACTACTGCAAGAACACGGCCTGAGCTCCCAATCACTTCTAAATTTTCAGGGCAATTTTGATGGCCAGAGAGCGCGAAACTGAATTCAACAGATGGTTGTAATGTAAAGGAGACTGTTTTGGAGCTTACAGTTTCATAAAGCAACTTACGCTGAGGCCTCATGGATTTCTGTGCCATCATAGACACCACAACCAGACAGGACCTGCAGTAAGAAAATGAAGAGAGTACTTCAGGTGATACAAAACTTTCTGCAGGATCTTTCACGAGCCTTGTAAGATTTAAAAAAAAAAACCCGAACAACAACAAACCTCCCTCCACCCCCAGAAAAACAATTTATCAACAAGCTCTTCACTAAGCCAGCCAACATCATGCTATTAGCACTGGTGTCACTGTTTGACATGCTGCAGAACTGGCATTTCCTATTTATAGCTACTCATCACTGACAAGTCTCAGAAATAACTAATATTTATTTATTGGCTTGTGCATTTATTCCTCAGAGTTAATAAACTGACGCGATATCCTTAGGTATGTTTTTATTGTGCACACGATGGGTTATTCTGAGTGTCACACATCTATTTATGAAGTGTCCATATCCGTGTGAAATACCTTCTTATCCATATGCACATCAAACAGAAGTGGGAGAGAAGTGCACTTCGAGGTGGCACTTAGGACAAACTATTCTCCCTGCTGCTGCATTTTGTCTGAGGATCTCCATCAGACATCAACAGCTAAATCACTTCTAATGCAATTATGCTATATTAGCCATACTTTTCCTTATTACCATGGTAGTAATACTTTCCGTTTGTTTATACACACTGGAGAATAAAAAGCACAAAGCAATCAGCTATCCTTGTGTGGGTAGAGAGTCTTTCACAAAGTAGAAGCAAGGAGAAAAAACATGGTGGTTTTTTTTTTTTAAAAAAAAACAGGAAAAAAGAGATTACAAGATCAAAACAAAACCAAAAAAAATCCAAAGGATTATCTAGTTCCTGAAAGTATGTCTATTAAATTTTGTGGGGTTTTTTTGTTCAGTTGTTTGTTCTTAAAGAAAAAAATCCAGTTAAAGGGAGTCCATTTATTAACTTTACTCTCTTCTCTTCTGGTTTTATCTCAGTTTTTAGACTCTTCGAAGTTTTTAACCACAGACCCACAAACAGAAACCCGCAACTGAAACTTAGTTAGAAACGCTGGACTTGAAGGGGCTTTCGGATCACAACATCCAGTCCACTGCTCTCACCATCACTCCACCAAATGAGCAAGACCCATGTCTTTCTGTCCGTGTTAATCCTAACTTCAATTTTGCTGCTCTGATATTTAAGAGCCACCTTCTACTTTCCAACTCCTTATTTAATCTTTCATTTCATTTAGACTGAATAAACATACAAGCAACTGTGCTAAAGTTATCTTCTGTAAGCAACGCTTTTCAGATGTTTTTGAAATTCACTGAAACCAAAGTGCTAAGACACTGTCTTGTTATTTTAGTACCCGCTTGGTCGGAAATTTATGTCACTTATACCAATAACATTTGTTTTCCACTCTCTACCCAAAAAGCTATCATTTGCTAAAATGACAGCATTTCAGTAAGTTACCTTGTAGACATTTGGACGTTCTGCCCACTCCTGAAGCAACTCTGCCCCAAACAGATTTATCCTTCATCCAGGTGATGCATTCTTATTCCTTTACATTTTATGCTGTCAAGACTATTCAAAGCTCGACCTTCAAAGACCGTCCATTGAACTCCAAAATGTGTGTCCATTTGAGACGCTATCTACAGCCTAAATTTTCCTTTGGCAACCTGTAGCTCTTCCACCTCCTCGCTTTCTTTTGCAATTTTAACACGCTCTACCTCCTGCGTGCAGAAGGGCATAATCCAGTTTAAATATTCTCCTGAACGCTGCCAGCGCCTCCCCCAATTAAACTGTGCGTTATCCCAAGTTCAGCTCCTTATAACTCAACTCCAGGCCAACAGCAACCACACAGAAGCCAATTTTTACGCGTTTTCCGCTCCTGGCCTGGCTTCGTCCAAGTCACCCAATGCTGAACAGCTTTGTCTGCTCCATCTCAGCGGCTCCCAAGGCCTTCCTGCT